GGGGGTGCGGGGAAGGGGGGTGTGGGGTGCGGGGAAGAGGGGTGTGGGGAACGGGGGTACGGGGAAGGGAGGTGTAAGTTTAGGAATTTTATTTTTTTTAAGGGTAATTTAGACATTATATATATATATTTTTTTAAAAGGGGGTATGTTTATACGAGAGTGGAGGTGTGTTTATCATCTGCCAAACTCATATCACGAATTAAATTCTAGCCCAGCCCATTCAATTTCGTAAACCCCTTCTGACATTTTAGAAAACAAATTACTTGTTCAAACAAAATGTTGGCTGATGATAAGAAATTAGAGGTGTATATATCATCAGCCCAAAATGTTTTGTTGTACGGTTTATTGGCTCATGATATACACTTCCTTTTTTTTTTATAAGTACATCTCCTTTATTTTTTTTAAAAAAATTATTAAATATTGTAAACTTTTTTTAATTTTTTTAATTTTACACCTCCAACTTTTAATTTGTTACTTTTTTCTTCTTTTTCACATACTTTTTTTTTTCTCTTTTAGTTTTCACATGTTACCAAAATAGGTGTAGTGAAAGAAAGGTAAAGGGGTGCATGTAAAAATTGAAAAAAAGAAGAAAGATATGTGAAAAAAAAGTACTAAATTAAATATTGTGGATGTAAAATTAAAAATAAAAAATAAAAAATTAAGAATATTTTAAAATTTTAAATTTTTTTTTAAAAAGAAGTGTACTTATAAAAAAAAGGAGGTGCATATATCATGAACCGATTTTATTTCATGGAGGCAACTATTATAGACCAAGATTTAGCCCAATCAGGGCCCAATAACCACGTGAGGGTTTGACCCAAATAACATAACAAATTAAGCACACCATGTCAAAAAAGTTAACCACAGTTATGAAAGATAACCATGTAACGACTTAACAAAGAAAATAGACATATAAAGTGAAAATAGTAATAATAATGACTATTTTTCTATTTTTTCACCAGGACACTTTAGTATTTACATTTATCATGAAATAAGAGGAAATAAAGTCTCTTTTATTTATTGAAAATTAAAAAGTGATTAAATAGTTTTGAGTTCATTTTAATAAATTTGAACCTAATTAATGAAGTGTCTTCCTCGCATTTGTCGTAGGTTGTGTGGCAGTGTAAATCTAATTAGCAGTTAATTAAGAGTTGAGGAAGGTGAAATTAAATAGTAAATAGGTCCGGTGTTGTGTGTGTGCAGCACGTGTTTGCAATCAAAGCATCGTTCGCCGTGAGAAGCGAAAGCGAATCCAAGAAGAGTGGGAGGCACACGCACGACGCACTCACTCGGAATCTCCAATCTCTAATCGGAGACAAATCGACTTCGCCACAGACAACTAGAGTGAGCCTCGTACGGAAATGTGGCGCTGCATCGCTCGCGGACTTCGTGGACCTGCCTCCACCAGATCCACCCCCAACCACCCACTCCGATCTCACCTTTCTAGATTCTTCTCTGTATAAACCCTCTCCCTCTCCTTTTAATCGCTTCAATGTCCAATTTTATTTCATCCTTTTCTGTCTGTTGTATCCTTTGTTACTGAATCGCTTTTTCTCTCTTCTGCAGAGTGGGGTGAACTCTTCCTACACCGTGGTCGACCATACTTACGACGCCGTCGTCGTGGGTGCTGGTGGCGCCGGATTGAGGGCTGCTATTGGGCTTTCGGAACATGGCTTCAATACTGCTTGTATCACCAAGCTCTTCCCAACTCGTTCGCACACTGTTGCAGCTCAGGTATGAATCAGGTTTCGCTGACACCTTTTTGTCTCGCATTGCTATTATGACTATTTGTTCTATTCGGTCTTTTGGTTGTTGTATTTGGTGTAAGCAGTATCCATGTGTAAAAGCTGTTCCATTCAAGTGTAATTTTAGATCAAGAAAAAGAATTTGTGATTGACTGCATGTGGGCCGTTGGATGATGAGTTCAACTAGATGAAAGCGACAGTAGCCTCTTTCAGTTGTGATATAAATTTTATGCAACTCATAGTATGTTGTTTTTTTTATGTATTTAACCCCTAACTGCAGTTTTGGGTCGCTTTGACTTTGACACCATCGCTGCTTCTCTTCGTGATTCATTCTTGTTTGGCGCTTTGTTATTATTTTGGATACATTACACTTTGGAATTGGCAAAATAATATATTGTGTATCACAATGAACGGTGATTTAATCAGCCCTCTGTCAACTGTGCTTTTAAAAAATCATTTTGAGATTATCCCATAGTATCTTCTTCTTTTCTGCTTGTTACTGTTGGTTATGATGTAAAAAGTATTGGATGATTCACCCAAGTATATTAAGTTGACACTATCATGTCAAGCATTCCACTGCTCCGTCTTGAATATGCTGGGAACACTAATTCATGGAATGAAATTCTGTATAGGGTGGTATAAATGCTGCTTTGGGAAATATGACGGAAGATGACTGGAGGTGGCACATGTATGATACTGTCAAGGGAAGTGATTGGCTAGGTATAAACTCACCCAATCTTTGAAGTTTTACATCTAGTATATTTATATCCCAAAAGAAATTGATAAATTATAAGAGTTTGTTGTTATAGATTTTCTTGCTTGTAGAGATTTAAATGTCTTAAATTTAAATTCCTTGTTTTTGTTTACCTAAAATGGAAGATGAAATTTAGCAATTTTCTATCTAAAGAAGCTTTAGGGATTTTCCTGCAAATCTATGGCCTCTTTAGGTGCTTGTGCTGGTATGTTTTTTTTTTCTTTCTTGTTTCTGAATTAATGTAAGCTACAGGAGATCAAGATGCCATCCAATATATGTGTAGGGAAGCACCAAAGGCGGTCATTGAGCTAGAGAATTATGGATTACCATTTTCTCGAACAGAGGATGGAAAAATATATCAGCGTGCATTTGGTGGTCAAAGCTTAAACTATGGAAAAGGTATAAAAAGAATTTGTGTAGGTTGTTGGCCTTTTCTTTTGAGATGAAATTTAATTTTGGCATCCTTTTATTGCTATGATACAGGTGGTCAAGCTTACCGCTGTGCATGTGCTGCTGATCGAACTGGGCATGCTTTATTGCACACTCTCTATGGCCAAGCTATGAGACACAATACCCAGTTTTTTGTGGAATATTTTGCTTTGGATCTTTTAATGAATAGTGATGGTAAGTTGTTGCAGAAAACAGCTTGCTTTCACTTAATTGCAACCAATTAATTAACAATGTCTTTAGCATTCATGGCCATGGCAAATTTCCCATGTGCTTCACATTACTCGTTGCCTACATATAGTAGTTATGTTATATATTCTCAATGGTAATTGCTTTATCAAACAAGCATACAATGGTAGGAAAAGATTTTGTGACTTGGTTAATGATAAAGTTAACTAATTTCTTTCTATATTGGATAAATAGGAAGTTGCCAAGGAGTAATTGCCTTGAATATGGAGGATGGAACGCTCCATCGTTTCCAAGCTGCTTCAACGATTTTGGCCACAGGGGTAACATAACTTTCTTGTGGATGTTTGACATTGAATTTTTTTTATTGTATTCGACCTATTATGGATGGGTAAGATCTTCTATCCTGCTTCAGGGTTATGGTAGAGCATACTTTTCTGCAACCTCAGCACATACATGTACTGGAGATGGCAATGCCATGGTTGCACGTGCTGGCATTCCTCTCGAGGTCTGTTTTTCATTTTTGGTTGCTTTTTGATATTAAAACATCCTTTAGCAAAGTCTTTCATCATTCACATGATTGTCATAAATTTTGTAGGATTTGGAGTTTGTGCAATTTCACCCAACCGGTATATATGGAGCAGGTTGCCTCATCACGGAAGGTTTGTAATTCTATTTACATCTTGTGCTTGCCTTTGGTTTCACTTTACCAGCCACCTTGTCCAATTAAATTGGAATGTAGTGTTTTTCATTTTCTTATATTGATTTTTGGACCTTTTAGGTTCTCGTGGTGAAGGTGGAATTCTTAGAAATAGTGAGGGTGAGCGATTTATGGAACGATATGCCCCTACTGCAAAGGATCTTGCATCAAGGGATGTAGTTTCAAGATCAATGACTATGGAGATTCGGGAAGGTCGTGGTGTAGGTAAGCTGGCTTATACTGATTTGGCCAGGTCTTTTTAAAAAGTTTATATTAACATATATGAAGTTTGAATGCTATTAGATTGTAAGTAATTGTTGCAGCATTACTTAAAGGAAAAAAATCAATGTTAAAGCTGTATAACTTGTATGTTAAATTCTAGAGATATTTTTTTAATCTACAACTGGATGAATCATCTGATTTGGATGAAATTCATGTCCTCTTTATTCACTATATTGGAAACTGGATCATATTCATTTGTCAGTTAAGTTGGACAATTTGATGTTTTTCATTTTTTAAGTTAGATTTTATTAACTTTGGAAAGTATTTGCAGGGCCCCTGAAAGATCACATCTACCTCCACTTGAATCACTTACCCCCAGATGTGCTCAAGGAGAGACTTCCTGGTATCTCTGAAACTGCTGCTATTTTTGCTGGTGTGGACGTTACAAAGGAACCTATTCCTGTTTTGCCAACTGTACATTATAACATGGGTGGTATTCCCACAAACCATCATGGAGAGGTATAGTTAAACATGTAGTTTGAAATGAGACCTCGAATTGAATGATTCAAACATATAAAAAAGTAATGAGAAGAGAAAAAATACATGGGATAATTAATCACACTAAAATTGTTGAATTTGGAGGCAGAGATAAATAGAGGGAGATAGGATGCAATTGCTCAAGTAAAATTGATTGATTTTATAGCACTTTGGTTATGAAGAACATCTTATATAGACTCTTAATAAACTAAGTAGGAACGGCAAACTTTTTCCTAGATTGATAGTACAACATGCTACTTTGTAAGAACTAATTCCTATGGAAACTAAATGCATTTAAATTTAAAATGTGTTGTATGAACTCATACTCATTTAACATGCAATACATGAACCACACATTATTCCAACATTGTTTACTTCTATTGATTACTTGATGAATTAGTGTTCTATGCTTACTTTTCTCCAATCTCCATTCTTTTGCTTCTTTTCAGCTTTGTTCATACTCGATATTTGAGTAAAAGCACGTGTGACACTAGTAATGATAATTGTTTGGGTTTGTTTTGACAACAAAAATATTAATATTAGTTGTAACCCAAAGTGGTTATCTAATATTATTCTACTACTTATATGAAAAAATAAAACACTGATTTAATGTCATTTTGTTATGCAGGTGGTTACCATTAAAGGTGACAATCCAGATGCAGTGGTTCCTGGATTGATGGCTGCTGGGGAAACAGCCTGTGCATCAGTCCATGGCGCCAATAGGCTTGGTGCAAATTCACTTCTGGATATTGTTGTTTTTGGTAGAGCTTGTGCAAATAGAGTTGCAGAAGTCCGTAGACCAGGCAAGAATTTTTTTCCGGTTGTTGAAATAGGTTTGTGTGCCTGAAATTAGTTTTACAGAACTGTATCTGTCATTCATTTTGCAGGAGAGAAACAAAAGCCTTTAGAGAAGGATGCTGGTCAGAAAACAATTGCGTGGCTGGACAAATTGAGAAATTCAAATGGTTCGTTGCCAACCTCAAAAATTCGGTTGAATATGCAGCGAGTGATGCAAAGCAATGCTGCTGTATTCCGTACACAAGAGACCTTAGAAGAAGGTAATCCATTTTTTTGTTTTTTATCCTCCTACCAATTCCTTTTTTTTCCAACAAGGTGTGTTTTATTCATGTTGATTCTGTAAATATATATTTCTTAATCGGAACTTATCTGCTGCATTACAGGTTGTCAATTAATCGATAAAACGTGGGAGAGCTTCCATGATGTCAAGTTGGAGGACCGAAGTTTGATATGGTAAATATTTTTTAGCGAATGATAAATATTACTAATATTTCATGGGTTCTGCTTGTTCCTTTTTAAAGTATATTGGCAATGTATTCACAGGAACTCCGACTTGATTGAGACTATTGAGTTGGAAAATCTTTTGATAAATGCATGCATCACAATGCACTCTGCTGAAGCTAGGAAAGAGAGTAGAGGAGCTCATGCCCGTGAAGACTTTAAGGTTAGTTTTCTCTCATGCAAACTTGAAACCATTAACATGAATAGTGTACCTGACTATATTATGTTGTGAATTTTGCAGACTAGAGATGATGAGAACTGGATGAAACACACTGTGGGGTAAGTCATATTTTAATGTTACAGTTATTTAGTTTGCTATTTTCAAAAGCAGACTGTTGAGTATTAGAATTGAAGTTGGGTTTCTTATTTCTAGTTGGAACCTTGGTCCGCTCCGCTGGATGAAAATTGGCCCCATACTCACCCCATATCCGTGCGGGTATTCATGAATTTCTTGAATACTCACAGATATCCATGGATATTTATAATTTTTAAGAAATTAAAAAAGTTGTATTACAAATAATTTTATATTTAATGTCATTGAAATATTAAAAATAAAAATTCAATGTTAATTTTGAACTTGTATTTAACGTTAATTTTGTTGAAATAATAATAAAAATGCAAGATAATCATTAACTTAAAATACATCAATCTCACAAGTAAGTGAAAGTCTCATATCACAAAGATGAGAAAGTGTAATTTTAGGGTTATGTGGTACAAGGATAATTAGGATATTTAAGAAATATTATTAAACAGGTACCCACGGGTATGAATATCATCATATCCGCCCCTGCCCCGTTTATAAACGGGTAAAAAATTATCCGTTCTCATTATCCGCGGGTACCCAATTAGCCTATACATTTATTATTCGTAGTGAATTTTACCCGCAGATACTCGCGGATGCGGGTATTTTTGCCATTCCTAGCGGCGGTACAAGCACTCTAAGCGTGAGTGAGCTCTGTGGGACCACCATCGGATAATACTCGTAGTTTTCGCTGCAGGAGATGGGTAAACTGTGGTCCTTTGTTTGAGGGGAGGATTGTTGGGATGCAAGCAAAGTCCCACATCGTTCAAACAAGAGGATGAACATGGTTTATATACACACAATTGTCTCCATTGGTTAAGAGGTCTGTTGGGTAGTGTCCAAAAGCAAAACTGTGAGGGCTTAGGCCTAAAACGAATAATATCTCACCAATGTGGAGACATGTGTATATGTGTGGTAACCCCCCTAGTGCACAACAGATCGTATATGGTTTGATTAATCAACATATAAAATCAAGAAACCAACTATTCTAGAAGATTACGTAGGTTGTATTAATCAACGTATAGGTTGAAGATGATTATGATTGAGTTGAATTATTTACAATTACTCAATTGAGAACAAAACACTTGTGTCAATAAGTTGCTTAAGTTAGCTAAGCTTTTGTGCATTGATTTGCAGATTCTGGGAGAACGAGAAGGTCAGGTTGGATTACAGGCCAGTGCATATGAATACATTGGATGATGAGGTTGAATCATTTCCTCCCAAGGCTCGCGTGTATTAATATACTTGCTTATGGATGGCTTTGATTTGTCGTCTCAATGTTAAATGACAGGAAAAAAAAAATGCAATAAAACGTCCTAGATACGCAATTTTGATTTTTGATGATAATTGTTGCATTCATCATCAATGTTGATTGATATTCCTGGCATTCTCAAATAACACTCTGTATTTGCAGCAGAGAATAATAGCAACACAGTTCTGATAACTGTCTGTATTTGACAAGTCTTTTCGTATTTGCTATAAAGCTAAGTTGTGCATCTGCACGATTGTAGTTTTTTTATTTTCTAAAATTATGGGTTATTCTAATTTTGTTCATCTTAAAAAAGCACCGGATGGGAAAATCAAAAATGGCTTGCCAAACATAAGATGCTCTGTTCAAACGTGACTTCGAAGTCTCCTACTTGTTGCAGCTGTCATGCACAACTGTTTGAACTAAAGAAAGTGCTTCTCTGCAAGATGTTTGACGATGAGAAAATTATGAAGTATGAAATATTGTTTTTGAGGGCCATCTTTTATATTTAAATCATATATGCCTGGTTACTTGGTCGTGTCGTCAGTGTAGGCCAAAATCATGAATTACGAATTGATTCCGAACCACAATTATGATTCAAAGGCCTGAGACGTCCCACCTAAGGGCTTTCAAAGTGACGAGGTGTGGACTCATGCACGAGATTGATTTTCATGGCTACGTTGCAGTGCAAATTTATAGATTTGTCTTCCCATCGATTATGTGATTTAATATTTTAGATTTTAATTAAAAAAGTACAGGATCTAAAAAAACATTCTGAAATGAGTTTATACGAAAAACCTATTTTTTCATGACTGTTTAATTGACTTGGTTTGTTTAAGAACGTTTCTTATTGTATCGTTAGTTAACAATGTTTGGACGTGCGTATTAAAAGTGACTGTTTTCTGGTCTTGTAGATTACCTAAATCTTTTAAATCGTTTTTAAAAACGTTTTGTATTTTCAGGAATATGTTTTTTTTCTTTATCTGCAACAATCCTTCTCATTTTCCTGGTTTGCGTTGTTTTCTTTTATTAGTTCTGTGCCTTTCCAAGATTTGGGAGACTAGCATTACACTCGTACAAGTCTTTTTGGGCAATGTAATCACACGAGGTTCTTTACTTCGAGCTTCAGCATCTGAGATTCTGAGGCTATATTAAAGTAACATAACTTAGCAAGTTATTAAACCCACGAATTGAAGAACTCGAATGAAGAGAGAAGAGCGTTTGAATAGCTAGATGTGTTAATTACGATTTTTTATAAAAACACTTAAATAAATTTGAAAATAACTCATGTTCAAAACCCCCTTTATATGTAAGACGATGTAGAAATCAAATCTGAAAGGGCCACAGTTAGAGACACGAGAGACAAAATGATGGATTTAAACTGTATCCGTGCCAACACTATTGCAAAACTTAAAACAGAATAATTTATAAAAGCTTGAAAACATATAAAACCAAACCAGACAATGTGAAACTTTAACCTTCTGAAATGCTCAATCACATATACAACACTAGTCAAAGATCATATTGCAGTGGTTCAAGATAGGCACAAAATATCTTATGATGACTGCATAAATTCGAATGCGCATCTGTTAAGACTAACCATGGACATTTAGAACCTAAGTTTCACCATGCACAAATAAGTGAATAACTGTTTGTTACTGATGGCTATTGTACTCTAACCATTGGAGATCCCTCCTAGATGATAGGGCCATAATAGTTTTTTTAACCCACAACAGCACATACAAACAGATATAGTTAAAAATTAATAAATCATCTGTCCCTTTTTATAATAAGTAAAATAATTATTATATATTCTTATAGATAAAGAGAAAGAGGATTTCCTGTTTTAGTGTATGTTTTATTTGAGATAATTTTAATTTTTAAATAAAAATAAAAAACCGTTAAATAGAAATTAGAAAGATTACGAAAATCGCTATATATAATAAAGGTCATATTATTCTATTAATATGGGTAGTTAAATAGAGACACGAACTCTCACTGATAATATTTTCATGTATTATCCGTTTCAATAATAAAATTAAATAAATCTTTGTCCTAATAATAATAATTTTACTTATTATTTTTTAAGTAAAATAATCATTCCATAAAATTAACTTTTCCTCTTTTCTGTTTTCTTCAATCAAATAATTTCATTTGGCTTCAATAAAATAAATTCAGGTTTAGTGTTTATAACTTTGGTATACAAAGTTTTTCCATCAATACCGTATGGGCACTCTCGAATTATTCAAATTTACAGTTGAATTTAAACTAGCTTCCTTAAAAAAAAATTACACCCATTTCAAGGTTTTGTCTAACTCTTCTAATAACGCTGAGAGGTATCTTACTATCTTTGTTATTTTCGGGTAAACTGCCTAATAATATTATGAATATGATTTGTTTTACATTAGTTTGTTTGTCGGAGAAGAGGGTTTTTGGTGTGTCTTCTCTTTTGGAGGGAGCTTTTACAGCGGTCAAAACTATATTTGGCAATTCTTCCTAAATGTCACTTTTGATGATTCCTAAATGTCACGCAAGATTTAAAGACTTCAATAATTATCTTATTCAACGTTTATGCTCATGACAGTCACATATGAATCAAGGTCGATCACAAATTGAAAACTATATATTATAAAATGATGATGTTTGTCCATAATATGTAAACTCACTAGATGTCCATTTGCTATTATGTTATGAAATAAAGAAGATAATCTCTTTTCGCTTGTAAGTTAAAAACAAAAAAAAAGAGTAGAAAACAATAATCCACAAGGATTACATGCATATCAACCACTAATCACATAAATAACCTAGCTAATTAGTGTTGGCGCTTTTCTGGTGCCTCGCTTTTTCCTTCTCCTTCACTTCGCTTCCCTGCGTCTTGTCATAAGCTTCATGCACATATATCGCAAAAGGAGTCAGCAAAAAAGAAAAAGAAAAAGAAAACACAAGAACCAAGTATATATAAATATATACATGTTTGATAAGCAAATTAAACCTGGGTGATTTTCATGTACAGAATTCTCCGTCTGAGTCTTGTGAATGGATTGGTTTCCACCATAAATTCCACCAAACCCTTCTTCATCAGACCTCGTAGCGTACCCTTCTCCAAACGAATGAGACATCAAATCCCTTCACAGCATCAAATAATCGATTAAAAACATGGTAATTAATATTAAATCAAAATAAGATATATTTGAAGCCACGTACGTACCCCTCACTAGGCTTCTCATTCTTGTCCATGTTAGGAGCAGTGTTATCAGGTTGAGAGCAGAATCTAATCACGGAAGTTTCACGACCAAGGTTGGAAGAGAGAGAGCGAGGGAATGAAAGTGGTGGATAGGTTAAAACAGCTTTGATTGAGTGAATCATTTTTTTTTCTTTTCTATGTTATGAGATCTTATAGCAGAGGCCAGAATGGTAGTCCTATAATTTCGACGAGTGATGAATCCACAACAATGCAATTCCTATTAATTCTCTTGTGTACTTTCTATACAATACATGGTTCGGGAAAATGATAATAAAGTGTTTTCGAGACACGACATCTGGTGTGAATTGGACGCTTATAAACCCCTTGCGTGTCACGTCGAGGATGTTCATCTTTTTGCATGCGGAAAAATATATTTCAATTCAACTCTAATTTGAAGACTTTTCATTGTGGAACAACTGAGTAAACGCCACGTGCCCCTTAGGTAGCACCTGTTATATTCTGCAGGATAATTTTTTATATGTTAGTGCATTATTAGAGAAGTACGCAAGGTACGTGTATGTATGAAATAAATCGGCTATATTATATCACCCGTGACGTGAGGTAATCAAGAATTCGTGAGTTGTCTAATTAATTTGAAGTCTTGAACTGCGCAATTTTTACCTTCAGTAGTGCAAAAATGATAATAAATCTTTTTCGATAGTTTATGCAGTTATTAAAATTATATTTTGTTATTAAGAATAGAAAAATAAAAGTGCATACTGAGTGAGATAATTTCTCTATTGTTAGTATAGATAAAGTATATGTAGAGAGCTCAAATTCTCTTCTGCACAATTTTGCATGTAGGATAGTGACTGCAGGAAGACATGCACGAGAGTATATCCGAGGTAGTCTTTGTTCTCGAACAAAATATGGAAAGTGGTTGTGGTTAATTAAAACTGTGATAAACTGAAATATTTATTTATGTTAAAATAAGTTTTATGCTGAAATATATAGAGTAAAATATAACTTTGTAAAATAAAGGCAACACTAAGATCGAAACAGCCACCAGCAAAAATTTTTAAAAAAAAAAATAATTTTCGATAGAGTTACATCATTTAATAATTTATTATTTATATTAAATTTTAATAATTTAATTATTAAATCAAAGATTCTTGTCAAATAAATTAAGTTACGAATTTTTATAAAATTTTAAAATCACATAATATTTTGTTATCTAAATTTAAAATTAAAGTATAATATTTTTTAATGAATGTACGATAATTTAAATTTATAAAACGAATTGTTATCTCATACCATTTCACCAATTTCATACCTAGATCATTCGCACCATTATATGTATAAATATATAAGTTGTAAGTACAAATAGTGAATTCATCAATACGTGTTAAATGAAAAAAGTGATACTCCATTGGGCCATTTTAATTGGTGATTCAAGAGGGGCTCATATATATACACCTCCTTTTTTTATAAGTACATTTTATTTATTTATTTATTTTAATTTATAAAATATTGTAGTTTTTATTTTTATTTTTTAATTTTACACTTCCAACTTTTAATTTGTTACTTTCTTCTTTTTTCACACACTTTTTTTTTTAAATCTCACATGCTACCAAAATAGGTGTGATGAAGGAAACGTAAGATGATGCATGTAAAAATTGAAAAAAGAGAAAAGATGTGTAAAAAAATATACTAAATTAAATATTGTAGATATAAAATTAAAAATTAAAAATAAAAAAAATTAAAAATATTTTAGAAATTTAATTATTTTTTTTTTAAAGGGGTGTACTTATATATAAAAGGAGGTGTATATATTATGAACCTTCAAGTATCGACTGTGGCACGCTGGGAGCTAGCCTTTTGAATCACTGCCAGGCCCACGATTGTACTGATGCAGCCCAACCACCAATGGAAGTACAACTGTAACTGGCAACACAACACAAATGATGATACAAGCACACCAAGGGAAGCATCAAACTTGATGGAAACCTAAGTTTCACCTAGCTTCAGCAGAATTAATAGACTAGACATTTTGTATTTAGATTTTTATTGAGTCTTGTCATTATTCCATTGTTTCCTTTATAATAAATTTTTTTTTAAATATATTAAAGAAATTACTTATCCATAAAAGAAATTAGTTATCCATATTAAAATTTACTTATTTCATAATAATCTTTCTAAATTATTCTTATTATCAATGTCAAAAAGAAATAGTACAGTTAAAAACTTATGTATTAAATGAGAGATTTTTTAGAAAAAAATATCATTAAATAAAGTAAAAGTAGTTAAAATTTATTTATATTTAAAAAATATCTTTTTTCTAGAAAATAAAGGGAGTATAACCTTTTTCATTTGTTTTTTTTTTGTTGAATCTTTATTGAATTTATTAGTGGTGAGTAGGGATGGCAAATATACTCGTACCCGCGAGTAATACCCGAACCCGTTCTGACTTTGACGGGAAATACCCGGTTTGACCGGGTATGGGTACGGGTACGGGTACGGGTATGTACCTACCCGCCCCGTACCCGTACCCGTACC